AAGCTGGAAAAAGGACCTAAATCAGTATTTCTTGAACGACCATTGCAATGAGAAAAAAAAAATGGTACAACATCATGAGTCATCACAGAAACACAAATTTACAACACAGTGAGATATTACCTCACACCTGTTTGAATAACAGCAAATAAACAAATCAATGTGAGACAGGAAAATACTTGAGCTCTGTTGGTGGGAATGTAAGTCAGTGCCACCACTATGGGAAAGGGTATGGAGGGTCCTTTAAGAAAAAATTAAAAATAATCTGGGTATGGTGCGCATGCCTGTAATCTCAGCACTCAGAAGGCTGAGGCAGGAGAACCTTACATCCAAGGACAACTTAGGCTACAAAGTGAGACCCTGACTCAAACAAAACAAAAGTTAGAAATAGAAGCAGCATGCGACCAGCAATCCCACTTGCCGGTGTACAGCTGACAGAACTGAAACGGGCATCTTCCAGAGACGCCTGCCCTCTGATGTGGATTACAGCAGCACTCATAACAGCCAAGACACGGGCTCAACCTTGGGGTCCACCGAGCGCCATCCGGCGGAGGACTGGATAAGACAAATGGGACACACCCACGGAGGAACGCCACCCAGCCTTCACGAAGGAAACCCTGCCATCTGCAACAACACTACGGCTAAAACCGGAGGACGCTAAGCCGGATACACAAAGGCAGGGGCCGCATTCTCTCACTTACAAAGCCCAAGAAGTCAAGCATGAAAGCGCGGGGTAGTAAAATGGCTCCCTACGACTCAGAGGGGACAGGAGATGGGGATGTGTTGGTCAAAGCGTGCAAAGGTTTTTTTGGTTTTGTGTGTGTGTGTGTGTGTGTGTGTGTGCAGGGTCTCACTACACAGCTCGAACTCGTAGTGATCCTCCTGCTTTCAGCCTCCCCAGCGCTGGGATTACCGGCGTACACCACCACACTCGGACGCGGTTGCCCACTCAGTGCGCCCGGGGGTGGGGCCAGAGCGGCGCGTGTCGCCAGGGATGGCACCCCAGCCCCCGCGCTTACCTAAGCAGGCCTTTAGTCCGCCGAGCTATCTCTCCGGTCCTTATGTGTACAAGGTTTCAGTGAGGCAGGATGCATAAGCTGTGACCTAATGCACAGGGGCTGACTGTGCATAATGATGCCCTAGTACATACTGTATTGAAAATTTACCAGCAGAGTAGACTTTACGTGTGTTTACTGCACACACACACACACACACACACACACACAAAAGTTACCATGGTTGGATGTCCTGTACGTGCCTGTAACGACAGCTACTTGGTAGGATGAGGCAGGAGGATTGCAAATGCGAGGCCAGGGAGAAATTCAGCAAGGATCTAGCTTAAAAAACAAAAACAAAAACAAACAAACAAAAAAAAAAAAAGCCAAAAAATTAAGAGCTAAGTATGTAGCTCAGAGTTCCACGGGTTCAAATCCCCAGCAAACGTTACTGTGACTACTCAATTCTGTCAGTTTGACTGGATTGCGGGAGAGCTCAACAAAGAGTTCTTCGGGTTGAGTGTGTGAGCATGACTGGCGTAGCGTCAGAGAACTGAGTCGTAGGCCAGCTCTTCCTGAGCAGAGGCGGCGCCTCCTACAGGTTGCGGTGACAGAATGGAGGCGGAGGGGGACACCTGCGCATGCGCATTTGACCTTCTTGAGCAGGCGCGTGCTCCGCCGCCACCCTTAAAGACATCATGTGCAGATCCTTCCGCCTGAGGCCGTGGGCTGGCACCCGAAGCTGTGCAAGGAGCGCTCAGCCCTGCAGCCTCCCAAGGGTCGTCAGCGACCCTCTTTCTGCAGCTTCTTAATCTGAGCAGCTACCAGTTCGCCAGGCCTCGCCAGCCGGTGGACAGCCGGCCAGTGGGAGCGTTCAGCCTCTGCTCTGGAGCCCGGGCTAATCGGCCCTCCTCGCCTGCAATCCCACGCGCGCCGCCGGTTCCGCGCCTCTGCAAAACCCTGATTGTGTTTCTCTTTTCGTGATGCGCTCGTATCGCAAATCATCATGTTGCCCAGGGTAAATATGGACAGTTCGTATGTGTCAGTCACACATTAATGAAGCTGGACGTAAACCAACGTTACGGGGTTCGATTCCCGGCGTGCCGCCGACCCCGCCCCTAGGATGGCTGAGACAAGGCGATTGAGACTGGGCTTGGTGGCGCGCGCCTGTAATCCCAGCACTTGGGAGGCTGAAAACAGGAGGATCACTACTAGTCCGATCTGTGTAGTGAGACCTTGTAGACCCTGCACTAAGATACATTTTTTTTAAAAAGTTACAATTGTAAGCATGGGTAAGCTTGTCATACATATATCATACAAGCACGGGTAAGCTTGTCATACATCACATCGACCAAACACGCTTCTCATACATTTATACAACTTGTCATACAATTTCCATATCTTCATTTTAGTCACTCTTGTATACACATTAATGAGCTTAGTGTATTCCGATATGTAGCTATATGCACTCACACATGATACACAAAGCTTTTACATGAATGGCAAATGATCTGATGCTCCCTGAAATATTATGAAATAGCTCAGAGATATAGGAAGCTATAAAAATGTTATAATAGAAACGTAACAGGAACATACACCGACCATCCGTATTAAAGTTAAAATTAAGAACAACTTTGTGGGGCCAGGGATATAGCTCAGAGGCATCAGTTTCTGCCTGGCAAGGACAAGGGCCCAAGTTTGATCCCTACCACAAGAAAAGAAAAGAAGCTAAAGTACGACTTTGTTATATTCCTCTCCCCAGACATAACCCCCACTTTCAACCCTCAAGACAACTGCTGTTGTGAATTTGGAATTTATTGTGTCGCGTAGTAAGGAATTTAGCCTCCCCTGGAGAGCGGCTTTTGTCCTGACTTGCAGGAGACACTCTCTAAGCTGGAGGAAGGCCAGGCTTGATAGAAACGTCTTTGTTTGCCCAGGGGCCCTTACACCACACTGAATAATCTTAAAATGTGGTTTAGAGCTCCAGCTGGCCACAGCAGATATTTTGAACACTGTGATTCAGAGAGAGAGAACCTGACCACGCGGGATAATCCAGCAGTGTGATTTAGCATGGGGACATTGGGTCCAGTGGTATCAGCTCAACTTCCGGAGGCGCTGAGCACCGAGGTCAGACGTGGAAGACACCCCCAAATCTGCGGGATGCAGCTCAGTAAAAGCTCTGGGCCCCAGGCTTGGGTGAGCTGCTCTGGTTGTCAGTGCCCCGTGCTATGTGTAGTCAGCCATCATCACTGCCTCGTGCTGTCCCTGACACGGAAGAGCCCTCCTCTGCCGTATTTAACCTAGTTCAGGAGAATATAAAAGTCCAGAAGACAAAAACGCCAAGAAGAAACCTCACCTCACATCTCCCCACGTGGGCCAGGTGTGGTGGCGCACACCTATAATCCCAGCACTCAGGAGGCTGAGTGAGTTTGAGACCAGCCTGAGCTACGAAGTGAGTTCAAGGCCGGCCTGAGCTGCACAGCGAGACCCTGTCTCAAAAAGACAAAAACAAAACAAATGAACAAACAAACAACTCCCAAGGTGATGTACAAAAAATGTAACCAATATAAATAACAAAAGGGTCTGGAGCCCTCGGTTCAGAGGCCAGATGGGGTCTGAAAGTCAGACATATGTTAGCAATGAAATGCTTGTGGAGGAAGAGACATTTCTAGGACTCTGTGCCATGGGCGCCCCGCACACTAACTCAGAATCTGAGGATGCAGTCCTTGAAGTTAGACTGGAAAGACATGGGGTTGTAGGGGTTGACAGGACTGAGGTGAACGTCTGGATGAAAATCGGAATGATTCGGCAGGCTGGGGAGAGTGTTCTGTGAGTCTATGTACCTGGATGTATTGTGGAGATGAACATGTGTCTTAATTGGTGACCACTTTCCCCATCCTACTGTAAATCCTTCCTTTACATAAATGGCAAATGACCCGAAGGCGTGTAAATTCCCCTTTCACCCACCATTGATTATGTTAAATGGGAATCTTACAGAAAAATTGGCCATACCCACTCCGATGGTTAATTTGAAACAGTATAGATTAACAAACTATGAGATTAGTGGTATGAGACTAACAAACTATGATAAAATCTCATTGTGGGTTTTTTTTTTAAGCTTAGTTTCTGAAGGACACATATCTCGCATCTTACCCACAAAATATGGTTAGCTGTTACCCGCAAAGCCACATAAAAGGTCTTGGCGTCTTCTGGCAGACTAGAGCTATGCAAAAGCCGGGGAGCGCCACCTAGTGGTCAGTGATGGGATTGGGGCCAGAAACGTTGCATTTCAAAGACCCCTGGCTGGCTATTGGGTTGTAAGACTGCCTCAGTTATTGAAAGGACGTCAAGTCATCCTGAGACCTAACACCCGTGGTGTGTTTGGTAATGCTGGATAACTAAAGAAGACCATGCCTGGAAGGATCCCATAATAAAATGGAAATGGTTTTTAATGGGAACATGCCACCAAGGAAAGACATTGAGAAGCAGGTGGCCTTTTTTCCCCTAAGGTGACCTGTAGACGCCCCTAAGCAGCTGCTGGATCCTATTACTGCTCAGAGGGTGCCTCGGGGTAGTCCCTAACTGATCAGCAAAAGCTCCGCGTTGGTGGGTGGAAATTCCAAAGTGCATGGACTCCACCCTGTTTGGAAGACACACAGTTGGATTGAAGAATAAAAAAAGTGGGCTGGGGAGGTAGCTCAGTGGTCTAAGCACCTGCCGGACAGCGCAAGGACCCAGGTTTGATCTCCGTACCTCATGCTAGCCACAGAAACTGGGGGTGTAATCCCAGCGCTGGGGAGGCTGAGACAGGAGGATCACTGTGAGTCGGAGCTGCGTAGTGCAACCCGGTACCAAACAAATACATAAATGAAAGATAAAAAGAAAACAGTCATTTCAGTGAGATGAACTGCCCTGAAAAGCTCATGGGCAGGGACCAAGAGCCTGGCCATCAGAGCTGGCGGATGGGCAATGGAACATGGGTGTTAGAGGTCCGTAAGGTACGAACCTATGGGAACGCGCACAATCAATATCTCAGAAGATCCTGGCGTTCCTCCTCCTGACTACCACCTCCCTCCACCCTTCAAAGGCCCTTACCACCTCAACATTCATGGTAGACATGGCTAGTATATTTTGAAACAATTTTGCTACCTGTGAGTGCTTCCACAAACATTATATTTGGATTTATCTTGTGTTTTTCAAACTGTGAATAAATGTAATCATACTTTATCGTTCGCTTATGCCTGGCTTCATGAATTCAGCATTTTATTTGTGAACTGCTCCGTGTCGTTGCACCTAGAAGTGACTCATATTTTGATTGCTGGGTTGCAAAAGCATTTGTCTTTCTATTTCATTTGTATGATGTTTGGGTACTTTGGTTCTGATAAATAATACTGCCACAAACACTTTTGCATTTGTGTTTTGGTGTGTGCATATAAACGCTTACACTGAGTGTAGATCCAGGAGCAGAGCTTCAGGCCAGAGAGTACCTGTATCTTCCACTGTTAAAATGTGGTTGCCTTGGTTTATATTTTTTTTTTTTTTGGCACAGGGTCTCACTACAGTTCAGACTTACAGTCATCCTCCTGTCTCAGCCTCCCGAGTGCTGGGATTACAACCGTGAGCCACCACTCCTGGTTTCATTGCCGGCATAGCACATGGTACCAGGATCGAACTCAGGACTGTGTGCTTGCCAGGCAGGCACTTAGGTCACCAAGCCATCTCCCCAGCCCGTGATTTATATTCTTAGCAGTATGTGTGAAACAAGACCCCAGTGTGGTGATATATACCTGCAATCCCAGAACTCTGAGAGTCTGAGGAAGGAGGCTCTCAAGTGTGAGCCCAGGCTGGGCAACTTAGTGACTCAGTAAGACCCTCTCTCAAATTAAAAAAAAAAAAAAAGCAATGGAGAAGAAAGTTGGGAAGATAGCTTAGTGTGAAGTCCCTGAGTTCAACCACAAGTACTGAAAAGGTAAAAAAAAAAAAAAAAAAAGAATTTTGCATTCTACTCCATAATGTTTCTGAATTTGTTCTGATGTACAAATAATTTTCCCCTTTTGACCCTCTTCAAATAAAATGAATGCTTCTGAGATTAAAAAATGTGTGTGTGTGTGTGTGTGTGTGTGTGTGTGTATGAAAGCTCAATACTATCCATCCTCATGAATACTTTATACTGTCAAGGTATTTGTACTGTCAAAGCCTTTTTAAGTATTCAGCTGGACATGTAGCAGGAGCTTAATGATGTGAAATCTACATATATAGTAGGCTGCCTTTCAAAACTCAGGAACTAGCTGAAGTCAGGGAAAAAAAGAACAAAGTAAACATAAAGCAGAAGAAAGGAAATGATAAAAGATAAAATTGTTCCCCCTTTGATTTTGATTTTTATTCCACTTATTTCCCTATAAGGCTGAAAATCTCATCATTCATAACTCTGTTAAAATTAGATGAATTTAACCCTAAACCTTACAATATGCATTTATGACTTTCTGCCATGCATTGATTGGTTGATGCTATTTTGGGCAATACAAGGACCATAGAAATGTGATCTTTGTCATCCCCAAGTCACCCTCAGCAGCCTTCACAGCTTGGGCACCATCTCGAGTGTGCCCATCTTTCCTGACCACAACAGATTCTCCCCTGGCCTGCAGTCCCTTCCCATCCGGGCCACTTCTCATGTGGCCCCTGAGGCGCAGACCAAACAACCTGCTGACTCAGTCCCCCATGGCACAAGGATCCCCATTAGAGGCAAGAAGGAACTCAGAGTACCCAGCACCCAAGACCCTCCCAAGGAGGTGGAAGGAAGAGTGAAAGACAAAGGCGGAGATAAGAAGGGCAATGTGGCCCTCAGGCTTCACCGAGGATCCCAGTGGAGCCTCCTGTCCCATGAAGCCCCAGCGCTCACCCCACGTAATTCCTGCCTCTCTGGCTGAGCAGGATTCAGCAGAACCAAAGAAACAGAAGCCCAGCCTCGCTCCGAGTACGTTCCACTCTCCCTCTCCCACATCCTCTTTCAGCTGCCCACTATCCTGTCTCTTCTGAACCACAGAGGTGGGATGTCAGAGCCAGCGCAGTGAAGTACCTCTGCCACCCCGGGCACTGTTGCTGTTGCACGTGGGGCTGCCAGGTGGGTGGAGTGGGAAGCAGAGCCATTGTTGTCCAAGGAAGCCCCCAAATAGCCAGTGCGGGTTAGGCTTCTTCCGGGTGCCAGCTTCTGGTGGGACTAAGGGCGTCTGGGGAAAAGAGCACCTAGGGCCAGGAAATGGGACAGGGCATGAGCGTGGGGGATCAATCAGGCTGCTGTGAAGATGAGCTATTGTGGGTACCCCTGGAAGCCCTGGGGTTAGTGAGCTTTCAGCATCTCCACATTTCCATGGCCACCTCTGTGTCTCTGCGGCATCTCCCTGGCTCTGTGAGCATCTCCATGTACCCGTGTACCTGCGGGCATCTCCGTGTCTCCACGGGCACTCCTTGTTTCTCTGTATCTTTGGGCATCTCTGTCTACCTGTGGGCATCTCCATGTGTCTGTGGGGATCTCCGTGTCTCCGTGGCATACTTCCCCAGACAGTAAGGACTGCCCATTGGGCAGCGGTGGGGGAGGACTATGTATCACAGTTTCCTAGAAGTTCCTCTTCCTTCCATTGGCCCTAATAAGATAAAAGGCTAATGGTCGAGGAGAAGTAACCCCTTTCCTCTAGTGATATCAGACAACCCCAATGAAAGAGTACAGAAGGCACTAAATTCAGATTGATTTTTACTGGGGTCCCTGAGCAATGTGACCCCTACTGATTAACCCAAGACTTTCATCAAATGGTCCATATGTCCTAGCCAAGCTATGTAGATTAAGGCATTTCAAACATTCTTGCCCACAAAACACAATAGCTTCAGGTGAAATCCTGGCTTCAGATGAAAGTTCCATCCAATACCACTTTGGTCTGAGAAGAAATCAAATAAAGAAAGTTGTTCTATTTCTTGGATGGGTAATACTTTGCCCTGCATTGAGCTAGAGACACTACAAATCTTAGGACATTTTCTTTTCTTGTAGCAGGGGGAATAGGTGACAGGTTCAGTGACTATCCCAGTTCTCCAGCGGATGGTACCTGAACACTAACTGATAATGGAGAAACTCACCACACAGCCTAAGGAGGGAGCGGGGGCTGAGAGACAGAGAAGCCCAGGGGCAGCCAGGCTTGATGTCAGCCTCGGAGCAGGTGAAGGATCTCAGGCTGCGTAGCTCCTCCAACTTCCCCTCACCACCCACCCAGAAGTACTCGACGAGGCCTTCATCCTGTGGGCTTCTAGAAATTCTGTCTGAAGCTCCTGTGACTCAAACATGAAGGCGAAGGCTGGGCCTTGGAGGAAGCGAAGGAAAGTCGAACACCTTGCTGACTCCTTCCCTTCCTCCCACAGCACCCGCCAGGCGGCTCAGCTCCTCCTGCTCCTTGGAGAACATCCTGTGGTGCAGCAGCGCCTTCCACAGGGTCCCCACTCTTACCGTGCAGTGGTGGGTTGGAGGTGTCCCTGTGGGTGTGAACGCCGTAGACGGCAGCCTCCAGGTGACTTCTGCCATACCTGGCCCCTGGGCCAACAGCACCATCAGCCTGGCCAAGGAGCCAGCGTCAGGACCGAGCCTGCTCTGTGAGGGCAAGAACCAAAACGGAGCCATGCTTTGAGCATCCTACTGATGTCAGGTGAGAAGGGCTCCAGGTGCGAGTGAGGATAACAGCAAGGGGGTGGCCTTGAGGCTGCAGGAGGGGGCAGGACGTGGGCTTCTGGGGTCTGGGCAGAGACGGCCTCTTCACACGCGCTGTGCTTCCAGGAAGGAGCCCTCTGACTGCTGAGACCTTCCTGAGAGGGCTGCTCCAGGGTGCTATCTATGGATCCACCCCCACCACGCTGCTCTTCTGTCCCTCCTCCCCTTCATGTGTGTCTACGTGCATTTTTCTGCTACTGTAACAAAACTGCTCAGACAAGGCAATTTATAGAGAAGAAATGTTTAGTTGGATCAGGATTCCACTGACTGGGAAGCCCAGCATCTGCTTGGTGTCTGGTGAGGTCTTTCTTGTGACAGGAAAACATGGCAGATGGCTTCCTGCAGCAAGACGGAGAACGGAGCCAGTGCAGGCCTCACTTCCTCTTCTTACAAAGCCATTAACGCCACAATGGAGGCCCCCGTATTTAGGACATCACCTAATCCTAGTTGCCTCCCAAAGGCCCCACCTCCAAACACCATTAACATGTGGTCTTCGGAGATTAAGTTTCCGGCCCACGAAGATGTTCAAAAGCATCGTAGCATACCAAGGTTAAACTGCAAGCCTCCCCCATACCGCGCTGTGTGAAAGGGACCACTGCCCGGGGCACAAGCAAGGAAAGGACAAAGTCGCCTTCAAGAATCCACGTCTGAGAAGGCTTTGCAAGAGGCACCAAGCGCAGTCACACAATCCTGCTCCATGAAGCAGGCCCGCGGGTGCATGTTCTCAGTCCCTGTCACAGCAGAGCAACGTGAGGGCGTCGGGGGCTTGTGAAAGCCAGCAGAGAGCTCGAAAGACGCTGTCTGACGGCCAAGTACTTGGTTTTGTTGTTTCATTTTGGGTGGAAAGTAGTGCATGCGGAAGCCAGGGCACTGAGAGCACCGTCCTGTCCCTGCACAAATTCAGTTGTGCTCAGAGAGACAGATGGCTGAAGGTGAGGCTGCAGAAGGTCCTCGGTGTCAGGTCACAAAGACCTTCGAAACTTGGCGGCTGTGTGCTCTGGCCAAAAGCTGAGAGTGGGAGGGCAGGGCTGCTGGAGGGCAGGCAGCAGGGCTGGCGGGGTCCTCCAGCCAGTGCGGGGCTTGGGCTGAGCCCTCAGTCCAGAGCCAAGGGAGAAAGAACACTGAGCTGGGAAGAAACGCAGGAGCTGGAGACCGACACACAGCAGACAGGAAGAGCCAGCCAGGAAGCTGGTGTCCATCTAAGCAGGAAAGGGGGAGGCCGGAGCTGGGGCAAGAACTGAAGGGTCACAAGAGAGGAGCAAGGAAGGGAGGGAGAGAGAGAGAGAGGGAGAGAGAAAGGGGGGGAGAGAGACATAGGGAAAACGGAGGGGCTTTTTTAATAATTTTTATTCAAGAAGGGCTATTTTAAAAAACTTTTTTTTTCCATTTTATGTATTTGGTACAGGGTCTCACTACGCAGCTTGGACTCATAGTGATCCTCCTGTTTTCAGCCTCCCCAGCTCTGGGATTACAGTTGTGCACCACCACACCCAGTCTCAGTCATGGCTCAGTGTGTCCTGGGGGTGGGGCCAGTGTGGCGTGCGGGACCAGGCGGTCCCTAAGCCTGCCAAAGCAGGCATTTAGTCCACTGAGCTATCTTGCCAGCCTTTGGAGGGGCTATTTTTAAAAGTATAAGCAGCTGGACTTAAAGACCAATAATAATCTCTTTACCATGTGAAAAGCCCTTTCATAGCCAGCCTCATCTGACCATGCATTCAGGGTATGAAACCAATTTCCAGAGGATTGTGGCTGGCCCTGGACAACACAGCAAACCACGAGTGTTATTGAGGCACTGAAGCTGAATGCCTGGTGAGGTCCAGACCTGTTTGGGGGGATGCGGAGAGGTGGAAAGCCAGAACTGATTGGAAGTTCATTTCCTTAAAATGAAACATATCAGAATGAAGCCGGCAAAGAAAATCACAGTCACTGAAGCACAAAAGAGCCTTCAAGTCAGACCAGGCCAAGGATCTAAGATGCCACTGAAGCCCGAGGAACCAGGACCATAACGAGCCCATCTTCTGAGAGCCAGGACTTGGTAGGTAGCCACTCTGCCTGGGGTCCAGTGTACAGGATAATGTTCAGACCCACAGGAGAGGCTCCTGCAGCACTTGGAGGACTTATCCCCAGTCCTGAGGCCATCAAAATGCAGACTGTGATTGTAGTTCTTGTTATAATGAAGCTAAATCCCAGAGAGCCTCATGAAAGAAGAAAATTAAGAAAAATCATTTAAAGAGCAATTAGACTCGGCAGTTTACACACACACACACACACACCACACACACACACACACACACACACACACGCTCACACACACATTGTGTCCCTGTTGAGAAGAGGAGAAGAGGGCTGGGGGACCCCTAGGAGTGACGGTAGCTTCACAGTGTGAACCAAAGACTTGGTCTCTGGGTGCTCAGCTGTCAGTGGTCAGGGCTACGCAAATGCCACAGGCCCAAGCTGGCCCCGAGTACCTGAAATCCAGTCCAGGCCTCCATTCCCCCTTTATTCTCCTGCACCCCACATCTTCAGCAGAGCTCAGGAAGAAAAGTTCTACAGGTTGCCTCACTGTGCTGTTATTTACCACTTATGATTCTCCAAGATGGAAGTGCCCTGTGGCCCTGCCAGCCCTCTGGGTAAAGAACGGTGCATCTATGAAATCTTATCAGGGGCCCGAGAGATTGCTTGGTGGTCTAAGCCCCTGCCTGGCAAGCACAAGGACCCGGTTCGATCTCCAGTACCGCATGCTGTGCTGGCCCAGGAACCCTGCTGTGCAGGCCACCAAAACCAGGCATGGTGCCACACTCCTGTAATCCCAGTGCTGGGGAAGCTGAGACAGGAGGATCACTGAGTCCAAGCTGCATAGCGGGACCCTGCACTAAATAAATAAATAAACAAATGCATTTATAAAAGAAAGGAAAAAAGAAATCTGGCAAATATTTCCTACAGTTCCACCAATATGTCCTCTTCTCGGTGCTGGGCAATGCTGAGTCTCAGAAACGGAGCAGCCCTGAGGCCTGCCCTCAGAGAGCAAGTGCGGTAGGGGAAGATGCCCACACAGAGAGGTCAGCAGGAGGCTGCATATAGCTCCCCTCAGAATGGGTGGCAGCCTCCTTTTTGGAGCCAGAAGTCGGTAGTTTTCCATGAGTGGGAAGAGGAGGGTGTTTGGGGGGGGCGGTATTTGTGAGTAAACAGCGATCCTACAGCACCAGCGAGATGGTCGTCTTGTGCTGAAGGTAAACGTTTAGAAAAACCCTCACTCGGTGCGAGGGTCGGCCCCCACGCAGTTCACACGTTCCGCAGAAACCCAAACTCCGGCAGGAGCTGACCAAGGCGGGACAGCAGCCCAGCTGCCTGGCCTCCGGGGAGGTCTTCACGCCTACCCCCAAAAATAGAACTTTATAATTTAAAATGTCGATCCGTGCTGGAATACAGCCAGAAAGTGACAGCAAATGGACCTCGTCTGGTTCACAGAACAAAGCTGGGATCACAGAATCGGAAAAACCTCATTTGGGTCACAGAGAAAATAACAGCTGCGCTGAGCATGTAAGCGTATTAGGAGCGGACTAAAGCGCCGGCTTAGGCAGAGCGCACTGGCCACTGGCTGGGGTTCGATTCCCGGCGTGGCATGCCGGCCCCGCCCCCGGGGCGCACTGAGACTGCGACTAAGCCGGGCTGTGGGGGCGCGCGCCTGTAATCCCAGCGCTTAGGAGGCTGAAAATAGAATCACCACAGGTCGGATCTACGTAGTGAGACCCTGTAGAACCTGTACTACATTTTTTTAAAAAAAAAGGAGTTTAAAAACATAAAATGAAAACTTAAAAAAATAAATAAAATAAAGTTGTATTAGGAGCTAGCCAGAGGGCCCAGGCGATTCTAGGCTCTGAGAAGGGAGCTCTCTGGAGTGTTCGCAGGTCCAGCTCCATGTGGCTGCAGCTCAGAGTCAGAAGAGGGGGCAGAACTTCCAGCGAGAAGTTTCCGTTTTACCCGCATAGTGAACTATTTCTCTCGGACCTTTTAGTTTGTGGAAATTGAGGAAACGGGGGCACAGGCAGGGTGGCTTTATCCGGGTGAACTCCGCGCCACAGAGGTGCTGGGGTGAAGACGGAAACCTGGCCAACCCTCGGTGTTTCCTTCCACCCAAGCAACACCCTCTAGAGGCCAGGAAAACAAAGAGGAAGGGCGAGAAGTTTGGGAAAGGAGCACGAAATAAAGATGGAAATGGGAGAGAGAATGGGGACTGGGTTGGGTAAGTCGGGTACAGGTGTGGGCGTGGGAGTGGCGAGGCGTTGCCTTAGCGCATTTGTCACAAGACACAACACGTGGGGCTCTGGGCGCCTGCTGATAGCCCAGGGAGTGAGGGCTCATCACCTATTTGCCCACAAACACTGAGGTAAGGGAGTAGTTTCCCACCACAGCTGACTGATCCAGGCCTGGCAGGAGTCTAGAACCATCGGCTCAAGAAAAGGATTCTCCTGACGGCTGGGACACCCAGCTAGAAGGTCCTCAGGAGGAACAGTTACCTACCTAGTGGTCTGGTGGTGAGCACCCATGCGTTCTTGAGGGCCCACTGGGACCCAGCAGCAGTCCCACCCCCCAGCCCCCCACTCCCACCCCCGCAAACATCGTCAGGTCCTGACTGGCTCGGGACAATACACGTGTCCTGGTTGGCACAGCAGAGCTTTGCTAAGGCATCCCTCAGACTTCCTGCGGGTATGACGTCATATGGGGCGGGTATTGTAGCACGTGACATCTGGCCAACACAAAGCTGGTAAGGCTGCTGCATATCCAGGACAACTGGCAAGTTGGCCTTATGCACTCGGTAACTTCTCCTGTGCACAGAGTCATCCCACGTGTGGGGGCGTACAGGTCCTTAAATCTGTCCAATCAAGTCGTCCCTCTGAAAAGCAATGTCTCAGTCAGTTTCTGATGGTTACATAGAACTCCAGGAGGACGTTTGTTTTTCAGCGAATTAGATAAAGAAAGGCTGAGGATAAGGCCCAGCTGGAGCACTCGGAATGCACACCAGGAGACACATTTGGAAAAGGAAGTGATGATTTAGGGAAAGAAAAAGAGATCTCGAGGGGCTACAACCGGTGGGTGGGCGGAGGCTGGGAAAGGACAGGAGACTTGAAGGACCACTGCATACCCGGCAGTAAAACACTCCCAGGTTCCAGGCGAGGAAAATGAGGGGCCCCAGAGAGGCCTAGGGCTTGCCCAGAGTTGCCCCCGAGTCACTGCAGAACCTCACCTGGAACCGGCCTACAATTCTAACCTTTAATGTGAGGTTGAAAATCAGAGGAAGAGGGGAGAACTCCATGGGGCTGGGGGAGTCTGGGTATGAAAAAAGACAGCTGACAGTTGGCCACCAGCCGGGAGAGGCCTGGGTGACACCCTCCTGCTGTGGGGAGAAAGGAGAAGGCCGAGAAAGGCAGAAACCAGAGTGGAAGAGCAGAGGGCAGGCTCTGTTCCGCGGACGTGACAGACGTTAGCTCAGTTCATCTTCCCAGTGATCCTCCGAGATGGGTGCTGTTATAATTGAGCTATTGTAAGGAAAGAATCCAAGGTCTAGAGAGGGCTTCGTCCGCAGCCACACTGCTAGCAAGGGATGCGGCTCGGCTGGAGCCTGGGCAGAGCCACAGTCCTGGCCACTGTGCTGCATACAGCGCCTGGTTGGGCCAGAGAGATGGCCCAGTAGAATAAGTGCGTGCTTCCCTGGCAAGCACAAAGATCTGAATTCAATCCCTGGTTCTGGAAATAAATAAATAAATAAATAAAAAGTTTCTGGGTTTCAGGGGTTGGGCATTTGGCTCAGCGGTGGAATGCTTGCCTAGCAAGCTGGAAGCCCTGGGTTTGGTCCTCGGCACCAAATACTAAAACAATTCAACCAAAAAAATACAGTATTCTTCTACAGCAATTAACCACTAAGAAGAATGTATGCAATGTGTTAGTTATTGAAACTGTCCTAGAGATTTGATTTGAAACTGTCTCATTGCTATTTATCAATAAAATTATGGAAAAAAAAAAGAAGTAAAGCCATGCTGTTATGTTGAGCTGTAGGAGACTCAGGACAACAATTTCTGACATTGCCAGCCAAGCGGAAGACCCAATACTATTATGGGCTATTGGATTCTTTTGGAATATTTTGCTGAGTTTATACACCTATAATATTCAAATAACAGAACTTAACAAAAAAGGGGGATACAGATGGATGTCCATGTTGTATCTGTGTATTCAAAGTGGTTAAGATAGATATATAGTTACATTCTCTTAATGAATAGAGGGATTTGTTCTAATGGTGTTTGTAAATAGGATATCATGTCCGCATCTTGTACAGCAATTAACCACTAGGAAGAATGTATGCAGTGTGTTAATTATTGAAACTGTCCCACCAATTTGGTTTGAAACTGTCTCATTGCTATTTGTTTCTCAATAAAATTATGGCAAAAAAGTAAAAAAAAAAAAATACAGTAAAATGAAAAAGACCAAAAACAAACAAGGCAACTGCACACATACATCGCCTGGTTAGTTCAGCCAGGAGGGCATGAGGGGGTGCCCAGGAGAACACACACCCTATGAAATCCTAAAAGAAAAAACAGCACAGTAGGGTGAATAGAATACCAAGTGATACAATGTACAAAACAACAACTAAAGGATGGGAGAAATAGAAATACAGTGTTATAGTTTTAATTTTCTATATTGAGTAATATGATATTATTTGAAGGCAAATGGGAAAGGAACTTTAAGAAATACATTCCTATAGCAACAACTTAAAAATTCTCTGAAGCTGTAAGTCAATAGAATCATAAAAATAGTCCCTGTATGCAATACTAGATAAGAAGAGAAGAAAACAAAAAGAGTAGATGGGACAAATAAAAATCAGCTAAAAAGATGGTAGACTTAAAGGTAATCATATAAATAATTGCCCTATTAATGTCAGCAATCCAGTTGAAGAGTAGAGAAAATTCCAGAGGTATATGTGATAGCTTCTGTATGAAGCCTTAGGTAAATT